TCGTCATGGTAACGGCTACAGATGCGTCGGTTCTGGTTCTGTGGGTCGATAGGAACGTCCAGTTATTGTTGATCTCTGAGTTGCTGCGGCGGACGTTGCCGGGTTTGGATCAGAACCCGAATAATAAACAGTCCAGTTTTAACTAGAAATGTTCTCCGAGTGAAGCTTCCCTCGTTTAGCTACGCGTGCACTTTTACGTCAACAAGCCACACCAGTTATTTGTTTTTCTGATGTTTACTGACCCAGGGCCTCGTTGGTCAGACGTCCGAACGAACGAGTCCGGTGGTCGCTTGTAAGGACTCCTTGTTCACTTCCCTCTAGGGTTCATCATGCTGCCTCACCGCCACCTAGGACTGACTGATTAGTGTTGTTAGCCTCGAGGGCGACCTGCTGCTTCCTCTTCAGCTGTAAGTCGCTGTGGACAAAAAATAAACACGCAAACAAACTTTTCTCCACAATCATCTGCTGATGAAGCCAGCTGTTCATGTAGCAACGCCCTCGCACATGAAGGGATTCCTGCTGCTGCGTCGGACTCGTGGTTTTGTCCTCTCTCCTTCGTGAGCCGGCTCTTTGCTCGAGCACGGAGCGCCTCATGGACGACAACTCCTGTTCAAGATGGGCGGAGGTAGATTTGATTTCAGTGCCAGTTTCACAGATAATTAATAACTTTAATACAAGTTTTTTCCATCACAATGGAAGATGGCCAAAGTCATTCAATCCGTTTTCATCCAATTATCCAGAGTCGGGTCGCGGGAGCAGCAGCCTAAGGCGAGAGGCCCAGACTTCCCTCTCCCCAGCCACTTGGGCCAGCTCCTCCGGGGGAATCCCAAGGCGTTCCCTGGCCAGTTGAGAGACGTAGTCCCTCCACCGTGTCCTGGGTCTACCTTTAGCTCTCCTCCCGGTTGGACGTGCCCGGAAAACCTCACCAGGGAGGCGTCCAGGAGGCATCCTGACCAGATGCCCGAGCCACCTCAACCGGCTCCTCTCGATGTGGAGGAGCAGCGGATCTACTCCGAGCCCCTCCCGGATGGCCGAGCTTCTCACCCTATCTCTAAGGGAGAGCCCAGCCACTCTTCGGAGGAAACTCATTTCTGCCGCTTGTATCCGTGATCTCGTTCTTCCGGTCACTACCCAAAGCTCGTGACCATAGGTGAGGGTAGGAACGTAGATCCACCGGTAAATCGAGAGCTTCGCCTTCTGACTCAGCTCTCTCTTCACCACGACAGACCGGTACAACGCCCGCATCACTGCAGATGCAGCACCAATCCACCTATCGATCTCACGCTCCAGGTTTCCCTCACTCGTGAACAAGACCCCGAGATACTTAAACTCCTCCACTCGGGGCAGGACCTCATCCCTGACCCGGAGAAGGCTTTCTGCCCTTTTCTGACTCAAGACCATGGTCTCAGATTTAGAGGAGCAAAAAATAATTATTTTTTTCATCCACTTTAGTTAGACGTCCGGTTTGAACATCCATCCATCCATCCATCCATTTTCTGAACCCGCTTTGTCCACGTAGGGTCGCGGGGGGGGCTGGTGCCTATCTCCAGCGGTCAGTGGGCAATCAGGCGGGGTACACCCTGGACAGAGAGCCAGTCCATCGCAGGGCAACACACACACACACACACACACACACACACACACACACACACCCCTAAGGACAATTTAGACAGACCAATCAACCTAACAGCCTTTTTTTGGACTGTGGGAGGAAGCCGGAGAACCCACGCATGCACAGGGAGAACATGCTAACTCCATGCAGAAAGATCCCAGGCTGGGAATCGAACCCAGGACCTCCTTGCTGCAAGGCAACAGCTCTAACCACTGCGTAGCCCCGGTTTGAACAGCTGGTTAAATTCATTTTTCAAAAACAAATTCATCTTTTGAAATTTGTGCATCAACTGATGTTGTTGGTGACATTTTATGAGGAAAATTGGGTGGAAAGTGTCTAAATATCGCCCACAAAACCCTACCCACAGCTTCAGCCGTAGGAAACCTCTACCCTCACCGGTCCTGCCCACTAACCTTATGAATGATGAGTGACCCGCACTTGCATAGATCAAGGGGCGACGGTGGCACAGGAGTTAAGAGCTCGCCCCGTAATCGGAAGGTTGCAGGTTCAAGCCCCGCTCAGTCTGTCGCTGTCGTTGTGTCCTTGGGCAAGACACTTAACCCACGTTGCCTGCTGGTGGTGGTCGGAGGGACCGGTGGCGCCAGTGCTCGGCAGCCTCGCCTCTGTCAGTGCGTCCCAGGGCAGCTGTGGCTACATTGTAGCTCATCCCCACCAGTGTGTGAATGGGTGAATGACTGATTGGGATGTAAAGCGCCTTGGGGGGTTCCAGGACTCTAGAAGGCGCTATATCAAATACAGGCTATTTACCACTTAGATCAGAGCCAGAGGACTCCAAAGCGCTTTACACTACAGAGCATCATTCATCCATTCACACACTGGTGATGACGAGCTACGATGTAGCCACAGCTGCCCCCAGGTGCTGACAGAGGCGAGGCATCTGCTCAGGAGCCAGTCTGGATTCCCACCAATCAGATCAGAGCGCTCAGTGAAGTCCTCCAATAGCATCAAATCAGCCTCGCTGCGATGTTCCTGTCGGCCTCGGGTGCCTTCACAGCTTCTAACGGCCGTTAAACCCGTTCCTGACATCGTCACTGACGGGGTGAGATAACCGGTGGATGAGGAACACGGGTCGTCGTGGCGGTTCCTCTGTCAGATGCTGCTCGTACGCACGGGCACGGCTGTTCTGATACTTTTCTACTCACAGGTACAAATGACCCTGACTTGGTTCTGCTGTTGGTTTCTCTCACCAGGAAGGACCACAAGATGGCTCTTATCCAGATGGGTTCTGTAGAGGAGGCCATCGATTGTCTCATCCAGTTCCACAACCACGATCTGGGAGAGAACCACCACCTCCGGGTCTCCTTCTCCAAGTCCTCCATCTGAGCCCGGGGTCCTGCGATCCGGAGCCTCTTCACTCCGCAGAGAGCCGATCCGATGCTGTCCACTACACTCCAATCATTCCAGTGCACGTCTGCAGAACCCGCCGCCAAGTCTGCTGTGATTTTAAACGATTGTTTTTATCTTTAGGTTCTTTACAGAAGACGAGGAGTTAGGGCGAGACGTCTCCGCTTCAAATCAGTCAGAGACTAGAGTTTGCATTCCGACCGACGCGGAGCCAGAACGTTCCAGGTTTGAGTCAGAACTCGGACGTGAGCCTCCTTTGCCTTTTGAAATGGTTCTGGCGAGCTCTGGCTGAAACCCTGCACATTCTGACTCTAGTCTCGGATCTCCTTTACTGTAGCCTCCCCGCGGTGAGCCCAGTGGGCGGAGTCGGACCCCCGTGCCTTAACCTTGGAGTCGGAATGACCTCGACTCCGACACACAAATGAAAGCCTCTGTGAATTAGTGAGCGGGTTTACAGAAGCAAGGTTTACTGTTGCTGTATTACAGATATATATCTCCTGTTTTACTGGTGTCGTTCGTGCTTTACGTTAGCTCTGTAATGCTGTAGCGTCAAACCGGATCCGACGTGTTTTAGCAGGTTTTTGGGCCTCGTTAGTTTAGATTTAAGTTGAGTTTTTCTTTTTGACTTCTCTGTTTTCTTGTATGCAATCGTGTCGTGATCGGATATCGTAGCAATATTTTAATCATTCCTGGACGTTCTTTTGTACTGCGGCGTCCAGGCGAGCTCGGCTGCGGCTCGCCGCCTCCCGCGAGCCGGAGGTGAACGTTTTCGCGAGCTCGCCGCGTTCGTCGCGTCTCCTCTCAGAAAGTTTTATTTATGAGTTTGTGATCCACTACAGCTAAAAACCAAAAACGGCCTTCTACGTGCAAACAGCCCCACCCGCCTCAGGTTTCTGGTTTAAGGACTAAAACACAAGAGAACACGTTGAACTGGCTTCCGTGGCGTTTTCCTGTGAGAATGTTTTCTTGTGACCGCTTCACTGGATTCAGCCTTAGTCTCTTTTACAAAGGAAGGAGAAATTCTGCGGAGTGCCTTGAACGCAGCACCGAGTCAGTTCGATGGGGATCAAACCCGATGATGCTGGTTTAGATTTATTTGTGTCTTACTTTGATACGTCACCATTCCAGCCACTCAGAAGCCCCGCCCCCCTCCTTAAGACCTGCTGAACTTTACAGCTGTGAGGAATTCAGGTCACCTGGGAAAAATTGGTCTTCAAAAGAATCCACAAAGCCATTTCCTGTAAAGATGAATGGGAACCAACTTCGGTCAAGTTGGTTAAACTCAAACCAACTTCGTTTTTATTGCTTTTCCTGCTGATTTCAACTTTGGGCCAATCAGAAGAGTCTGCTAAATGTTCTACAGAAGAAATGGGACCAATTCAGACTCGTTCACGCAGAATCGTTCATTCCAGTTGATCAGATTTAGGGTTGTGTTTAAAATGACGACCATCGACCAAAGTGGGAGAGAAAAAACAAGACGAGGAAAGGATCAGGACTTCCTGTTTAGTAAAAATACAGAAACCCAGAAATCCGTAAAGATTCAAGACGTTTGCAGATGAAAACAGCAGCTTAAATTTGAAGAAGTCCATTAACTCACCGTTTACGCCTTAAACGTCGTGTCACCATGTTTGTGCAGGACCAGTCTGCCGTTTTTAACCAGTTTCAGTAAAATATTTACCTGTTTAGTTTAAATAAACAACAGATTTACTATTTATTTAGACTTCACGAAAGCTTTAATGTTTCCTGATTGGAACGTCAGACGGAATAAAAACCTGGTCGGTTAATTCAGTATAATCTGATTCCCAACAGCGAGACCGGTTTGTCCCAGGTGCACCTGAACACATCACGAGCCAGGTGTGACGACGTGTTCGACTGTAAATACAGGTTTTCTACGCAGCTGTCTGAGCGGCGATTGTTGGTTTTGTACCATGAAACGTGTATATTTTGATTAAAGTGGGCGACCAGTTCTGAGCCGTACACTGTTACTGTCGCAGAAGAAGATTAAATCACTTTTTATCTGAAACTTCACGACTCCTGTCATCTCTGAGTTTTAGGCCCCGCCCACGCCACGCTAGATGCGCTTAGACGACAAAAACGTAGTTGTGTGTGTGTGTGTGTGTGTGTGTGTGTGTGTGTGTGTGTGTGTGTGTGTGTGTGTGAGAGAGATACTAGAGACAGATGTTTGTGCGTGACGAACATCTGTCCGTAGGGGTGAGGTGAAGGCACAGACTGGTAGAACGTTCGGGTTAAAAGCTGCAGCCTTCACAACACTCGCATAAATGTCAAAATAAAATAATAATCCTAAAATGGGTGGAAGAATGGCGTTTACGTTTGGATCTATAATAGGGACGCACCGATGCCTCTTTTTTCCAAACTGATACGGTACCGATACTTGAATCTGAGTACTCGCCGATACCGATACGATACTTCCACCACACAAAAAAATGCAACGATTTGGAATACAGATTTTATTTCAGGCTCAATATGAAAAAACAGTTTTCCCTGCCCACTCCGTGTGTGTGTGTGTGTGTGTGTGTGTGTGCGTGCGTGCGTGTGTGTGTGTCTTCTCCATCCCCAGTGAGTCGTGGAGGATGGCTGCTTATACTGAGCCAGGATTCTCTGGAGGTTTCTTCCTGTTAAGTGGAGTTTTCCTCTCCACTGTCGCTGCATGCTTGCTTATTATGAGGATTGCTGTAAAGACTCTGGAGCTTAGTGCGTCAGTAAAACGTGTTCAGACTGTGGAGCGCACATTTAACGAAGCTTCATCAGTAAAAAATGAATTGAGGAATTTAATGAAACGAATCATTCGATGATTCGTTTCAGCTCTAAATCTTTTCCTTCTTGTTTGCACAGTTTGTTTACACTGTGACGTGTGGTGAGGTTCATGACTGGGCAGCCACCGACTGCTCTGCAATCACACTTTAAAATATACGATACCAAAACAGAAATTTGTATTTTATTTTTGAATGCTTTTATAGTTTTAGCTCTTTTAACTGTCATTAATAATAGTTTACTCTCTGGCTTGTCCCTCGTGAACTAAAGCATGCAGTGGTGAGACTCCTGCTGAAAAAAACTGGCTAGATCCGAAGATCCTCTCCAGCTATGAGCCGATTTCCAACCTCCCCTTTGTGCCAACATAATGGAAACTGGTATATAGACAGCTGTCCTCTGTTTGGCTGAGTGTGATTTAGTGGCATGGTGGAGACAGACGGATGAAGTTTATTTGAACAAAACACCACTTTGGGAATTTCACCGTTTAAAGTGTTTTTCCAGAACTCTTCAGATAAATGATTTCATTTGGAAAAGGAATTTTATTAAAGTAACTTTACTTAGTCACCAGCAGAGGGCGTCAGTCTCTTTTAAATGTCTTCACATACCTGTCGTTCGAGAAAAGTAAAACCATGGATGGATACCTGTGTCTGTTCGAGAAAGGTAACGGATGGATGGATGGATGGATGGATACCTGTGTCTGTTCGAGAAAGGTAACGGATGGATGGATACCTGTGTCTGTTCGAGAAAGGTAACGGATGGATGGATGGATACCTGTGTCTGTTTGAGAAGGGTAACGGATGGATGGATACCTGTGTCTGTTCGAGAAAGGTAACGGATGGATGGATGGATACCTGTGTCTGTTCGAGAAAGGTAACGGATGGATGGATGGATACCTGTGTCTGTTTGAGAAGGGTAACGGATGGATGGATGGATGGATGGATGGATGGATGGATGGAATCCTGGAGACTACAGATCCAGGTTTGTATCGTTTTTGACACAGAGCTGTCCACTGTGTGTGAAAGCGTTCCAAGATGGAGGACGACCAGCGAGTGAGTAATGGATGTGAAGCGCTTTTCTTTATTGGTATCAAAGTATCTTTTCTACCAGACTTTCAAAACTAAATAAATTGTCGAGTTGAGCTTGACAGCAAAATGAAGGTTTTCTTGTTCAGTTTAAAGTGAGTAGAAGCATTCATCACCGCATGTAGGCTAGGCTAGGAGCTAACGTAGCTTAGCGGAAATGACTGGCCTGAACGGCACCTTTAGTCGGATTATACCGTTCACACTTTGGCAAATTAAACAAAATATTAATTATGAATGATGTGAAAGAAAAGGTTATAGGCCAACTTTTTCATTAAAGTATGAAATTGTTCTTATTTTCTGAATGAAATAAAGCTTTAGGCTAAAGGTTTTACACAAAGGTAAATAAAGGAGCTCGTTTAGATGGTGAGTAATGTTATTAATGTGAACATAAACCGTGGCTGCTGCTGCAGAACGTTACGGTTCGCACGGCGATAACTACACGTTAGATGTCTCCCCCCCAAACACGCACACCACGGCCTACCAGGACCATCCAAACAAACAGTAGATCATCTATTGGGAACGTGTATAAAGTGTATTGATCATCTCAGAGGTTCACAGTTTGCTGTTTTGATTTACACTTCGTCTCAAAGATGAATTAAGTTAAACTTTGTTGATCCCAATGGGAAATGAATGTCTGGAAGCTCCTCCAGAACTTCTTGATGGCTGCAGAAATGAAGAGCCACGTACCCACCTGTGTGTGTGTGTGTGTGTGTGTGTGTGTGTGTGTGAGAGAGAGAGATGTGACGCTTCACCAAGAATGAAATCCTTTCATGTTGCTTTAATAAAATTCTTACATTTCTAACTTCTAATAACATTTTACGCATGTAACATAGCGGCATGTTTTAAATCTACAGTTGCAAAAAAACACTCATCCTTTAGAGGGCGCTGTCTCAAAACCAACACAAGCTGAGCCAGCAGTCGGCCTGAAACCATACACTATTGGGTCTGTTCTGATTTTTAACTTGGTGAACTTGCAGGAAAATGAAATGAGCATCAAAGGTTTTTCTGGACTTTCGTGTATTTAGGGTCTCGTTTGGAAATGTTTCTGGGCCCAAACCGCCGATCACTTCCTGTCAATAATCTCATCAAAGTAGAACTGGTCCAGATGAAAAGTTTTTATTTATTAAGGAAAAGAGAACATGGAAACACTCTTGCTGATGTAATAAATAACACACAACCTGATTCGTCTAACTGATAGTTTATTTAAATCCAGTTTGAATGTTTCTGTTTTTCCATGAAGTATTTGATTGAGGAGAGGATTCATAAATATGTGAAAAGCAGAAAGTGGAATGTGCTGTAATATAATGTAATTGAAATCTGAATCCAAATATCTGAAAGAAAAGAAAAACTAAAGGAAGAAGAACAGATTTTAACTGTTTAGGGAACCAGATCCAGCCCAAACCATCAACTATCCACCACCGTGCTGACAGCTGGGATCAACTTGTGCTGCTGTGTATTGTGGGTAACCATCTCCACTTTGGTCCGAGGGTCTTCTGGTCCCTTTGGATGAAACGTGACATCACATCCTGCTATGACCTTTGACCTTCTGGCTGGGGCCTGTAGGGTTTTACACGAAGCCCTTGGTTTTCATGTTTCTCTGAACGTTTTGGGAACTTTTTAATTTTAAGACAAGCAAACTAAAAGCCCCTGATTTAAAATGTAACCAGACTCTGTGCTGATGCTTAAGCGTTTGTCTGGAAGCATCAAGGTGAGGGTTTATCTGCCGGGACGATCAAAGCCCTGATTCTTCAGGACGAGACAAGAAAAGAACGGTGGGAGAGAGTGCTGGGGATAATAAAACAGAAGAGCAGGAAAAGAGGAGGAGGAGGACAAAAGAAGGGAGCGGTGGAGACAATAAACCAAAGAAGAAGAGAAGTGAAGCGTTCTCTTTCTCATTCAGCCCTGTGGAAACGACAAGAGAAGATCTGAGGCTTTACAGACTGGAGGAAGTTCATATCCGTGTCTTCTTATTCTCACCAGCAACATGTTGGACCGGTGACTCGCAGCCGAACAAAGGCGGATTTTAGTGGAGGGGGGTGGGGGTGGGGGGGGGGTCCAAATGCCGGCACGCCAGCTTGCTCTCACACGGCTGTCAAACAGAAATCCTTCCAGTCCGAGCAGAGTTAGCATAATCCCCCAAATTCCCCCAAACGCTCACAGACACACCAGCAGAACCCAGAGACGGGCCGGAGAGCCAAACCGGGTCTGAGCGGAACCAGCAGCCATAAGAGGAACCCTCCCCCCAAAATAAAAATAAATAAACCTACGAAAAAATAAAATAAATACTTTTTTTTTTCATTCGGGGGCAGAATGGGCCAACAATAAAAAAGTAAGTTATTAAGAATTTAAGGATAATTTTGAATGAATAATAAGGCAAGATATTAAAATGTACCTTTTTATTCAAACATCTTTGATTATTTTAGAATTTTTTAATTTTAGTATTTAGTCAGTGCTTTAATGATAAAGGAGCTAAGACTTGTTCAACCAGGTGGTCGACTAGTTTAATTGTATTTAAGTCTTTTAGCTTTGGTTTTAGAACATTTTTACTAATAAACTGAAACATTTCAGTTGAACTAGATAAACTAATGTAACTAAAAATTATATATATGTGTATAAATATGTATGTAAATATATATATATATAGTTATGTATATATCGATTTTAGTATTTTCTGTTTTCTACAAAAAAATTAAAAGTTTCAGAGTTTGGTTTGTGTTCAATCGCCTTTTTTTTTCTTCTCGTTCTCACCCCGTTTCAGGTTCTCCCTTCGGTATGTGTTCAGTTCCAGATTTACGTAGTATGTCTGTGTCCCTTACAGTGTGCTGCATAGTTCTGGAATCCAGGTTTTTCATTTCGTACTAGTGAGTTTTAGCGTTCGAAGGTTACAAAACCAGCTTGCTGCCTATGTGTGAACAGGGAGCCTAACCCCGGCTTTCCACAGGAACCGTCAGCAGCACATTACTGCAGCAGCACGTCATAGCTGCTGATAGGAACCGCTGTGGTCAACAGAACCTTTTCCACTGGAGCCGTCAGCAGCCGTCAGCAGCGCGAGTCGGCCGCGTCTCAGGAGCAGCATGTCGCGGCCTTTACGCGCCGGTTCTATTTCCTACGCGCGACGCCTCTGAAACGGGTCAAGTTCGACATTTTTGGGGAAGGAAAGACAGGAAAT